ATGTTTTCTTCAAAAGTAAATTGAGAAGAATTTGTTCTCAGAAGCCTTAACGCTTCTCCTTTTATAAAGTTTAAGTTTGCCACTACAGCCTTCAAAATCTCTTGGATTGTCTTATAGTCACCCTTATCATTCACATTGTCCGCCTTATTGACCAGAGAGTTCGAGTGAAGGGAAATCTTGTCGCGCCAAAATGCAGTTATGCAAACATCCCGTATATACAGTTTAGCGAAACTCTTATCATTTTCGATTCCTGTGTATTTTTACTTCCGCTTCCTTTGGAACTGAAATTTTGGTTTTTCGAATTCGAATATGTGACGTGACTTTAAGTTCAAATTAAAGGTTTCATTTGGAATTTTGCGGAAGATTATGGTCGCATTGTTGACGATTAAGTGGCTTATTCGAGTGGAGAAGGTGAATTGAAGTTCAAATCATGTAATTTGCATTTTAGTTGGAATGGTGATTTGAACTTCAACATCCGCGATGTCGAGTTTTCCCTTTTTATAATTTCAACTTGTTCAAAGTAACTTCAAGTTCGAATGATGCCATTTCGACTGCGTTCATTACGATTTCAAATTCATATTACGAGATTTATAATTTCGACATGGATAGTCTAATTTTTGAACTTCAACTTGTCTTTTATTTTCAATTATTTTTGTCCGCAAATGTTCGCCATATCATATTAAAGACGCGCTCTTTTACTCGATTGGTTTGTGCACTCCATGCATCAGTTTCTATTTGTAAGACGATGGAAGTGAAGTAAATGCAAGAGAGGATAGTTATTCTCCCTTGGTATGACGTTTCTCTTTGAAATTCTTAGTTGGTTAACATGTAAAAACATTGAGGAAACATTGTATAAGATAATTATTCAAAGTTAGATCCGTTTCAAAACATTAATCTGCAGGCGGGAGTTTCAAACCAAGTCGAGCGTGTCCTCGGGCTTTACAAACGTAAATGAACAGGAGTACTTTCAGAAATTGACGAAGAGCCAGAACGTCCACACGACGTAATCAGGGAGTCTTCCTTAATAGTCAGACTAACATATACATATGCTGACACATGAATAAAGTGACTTACCGAACAAATATTTAGCCTCAAAACGTGACCTCCCATACAAAAAAGTGACTAAACTGGCCGATTTTCAAAGCGGAAAAGCCAGAACTTCTACAAGGACTACATAGTGCTTATTCATGTGTTATTTTTCATGTCAAGCACAAAAAATCACCATTTCTCGCGGTTTTAACCTGATGTCTAATTCTTGGCAAAATCCAAGATGGCGGCTAAGATGGCCACCATTGTTGGTGACATCAGGAGCGTCACCACCTATTAATGACATTCCTCATCTTGTTAAGAAGGTCAAAGGCTTTCCACTGTTTTGAAATACTGCAACATATCAAAAACTCTAGGGGAGGGTTCCATCCCCCCTCCCACTTGTACTACTGTGGGAGTGTGAATTTGAGTGTACGTCCGAGGGTTAATAACGATTAAGTATAAAGACTGCCATGTTGGTTTTTGCATTTTGCCTTTAAGTCGGCTGAGACATTACTTATCAGTGGATGTCTGCATTCCTTATAATTATTTTTCCTATAACTTAAAAAATGAAATATATTATTTAATAATATCAAAGTCTTTTTAAAGTTCCGCTGTTTGTACAAGTTAAACTGACATCCGAACAAAACGCGACAAGGTGAGAGTCAAATCAGCTTTTCAACTAATTGTGTCCTCTGTTAGAATTCAATCTTTAGGCAATCAGTAAAATTAGGAAACAAACTTTCAGAAACTAAACAGGCTCTTGCCGTTTTTCTAGCTACAAAAAGCCGCAGACGTAATTGTGTGTGGTAAATACTGCACGTACCCTAATATCCATCCACATGATGGGTGTTTTCTGTAAGCTATGTAATTTTTGACAGTACAGTGTATTAAAAAAATCTTATAGAAGCGGTTATTTTATGCAACATACTCTTTATTAGACATTCTTGGAGAGTAACTTTAATAAAATCTTCCAATCTATGCTAGTTTATATCAGTATGAAGCACACAACTCGCGCGAAAGGCAGGCATTACATCCAGCCTCGTTTCCATATTGTGCTTTAGGGGAGATATGGGGCTCTAATAAAACCCGTTTTTGGCAACTTCCCCCACAGGGATTTCCAGGGAGTTTTGATATGTTGTAGAGGACATGTTGCTGAGTCAAAAACCGTTAAAAAAACCTTCTTTTGCAATTAGTGACAGGTTGACCTATTTGTTTTCGCAAAATGCCTGGACTATTAATTATTAATAGTTGATATGTATTGCACCCAGTTTCAAGACTTTGATTCTTATAAAACGTAAGAACGCATCATTCATTGTACTTTTAAAATTTCATTTCATTCAACTACGTATTGTTTATGCAACATGATCGTTTATTTCACCTTTGTTTGCCAATATAGCACCGATAAAATCACCAAAGCTTTTATTGTAAATGGGAACTTGGTTTCCCTTTTGATTACAGAGCACAATAAAAAGTAACCAAGAGAGGTTAACTGCGCAGAGGAAAACGCCCACTCTAGCCTTTTGGATACGTAAATTATTTTTAGTGAAAAACTTCAAGGGGTGACATGCTCTACATCTATACCGGCGTGAAACCGTGTGTCGTAGGAAATAATAGGTCGTTCTTTAAACATTTGGCAAAGTAGTGATTGGTTTTGTATGAGATTCCACTTTTTAATTCGTGGGTACGCGCGAGCGTAGACACGAGTTATTGCAGGGACAGGGGTATGCAAATGAGTCACTTGCTCACTCGTAGTAGACGGACTTCGTAATTAATCAGGTTCGAACTCGAGAGGGCGAAGATGTATCGTTTCCGAAGAAGTACGCGCTCGCCGAAGTTCGGTGGGATCAAATTAATTCTTCGCGTGAATCGTGCGCTGCTCAGAGTTTTCTTTGTGGCAAATTTTCAACAGCACGGTTAGAGGTCTCACCAAATTTAAGACACGCAGGAGTCTTTCAGACTAGTACGATAGTTAACTTGGGGATTGGATTTCAAGAACCTTTGACGAGGGTCTCAATGGGGTGGTGGCTTTTACGGTTATCGGCTAAAGTTTTGGCTCTTTTATGGCCATTGGTTAATTTTTTTTCAGTTACGGTTAATAGTCAATTAAAAATAATCTTTGTGAAAAAGCAAAAGCAGACACGCGAACGCCCAGAGATATGCCGGGGCGCGACATTCATTATAATTGAAATGGCCGTTTTCACACTAGAGAAGTATTTTTCGTGTGAGACGTGTTATCCGTTAGATGATTCGCGTCAGATACGTAATACGCCTTAATTTGAAAATGTAATAGTTTTAATTTTGAATGAACAGTCCGCCTGACTTTTGAAGACGGGATTATCCGTTCCAGATAGCCTGTGTACAGTCGCCCCCTCCCCTCAGAAAAAATCGGAGAAGGGGTGTCTGTGGGGAGGACGCGACTGTACACAGACTAGTCTCAGATGGATAATCCATTTCTAGCTGTAGTGTGGAAACGGCCAATAAAAAAAGTCCCGTTTCCTGTGTTTTTAATGATACCGAAGCCGTGTACGGAAGGACTGTCTGCCGTTGCTTTGTCCGTAGGCAGCATTATTCCGCGCGGCTAATGCGTTTCTGGTTACGGGGTCCGAGCGACTTCGCCACCGAAATGCCTTGACCGAGATTGCATGAGAAGACGCCGTACAGTGACTAGGCAAGGCAATGTCTACCGTAGCGTCAGAGAAAAACAGGAAAATGTTGTTTCTGGACAACGTGTTTTACAAACAGTGACATCTCTGCGTGTTGTTTCACAAGTGTTTCGAGTGCAAGACCTCCTGAAAATTGCAAATATTAATCCCCCGCTAGCGAATTCTGGCCTATGAATAACTGACTTCAACTTATACTGTTCACGGCACGAGGAAGGATACTCAACGTTAACTAGTCAAAAATAATAATTAAAAAAAAAAACCAGCAAGCACTCAGTGGACGATGGGAGGAGGGACTGCGTCCCTTCCCCCCCCCCCACCCCCACATTGCCTTTTCATCTCCCCTTCTCCCCAGCCTCGGCCTACGACACAAAGAGGCCTCTGCGGAAAGGGAGAGAGTATTCCGTACAACGTGTATAGCCGTCGCATCTACTCGTTCAATTATTTTCTTTTAATTTGTTTTAAGCTTAAAATCAACGAAAAATTGCAACGGGAGAATGCTACTGATAGACGCGCATATTACAAATAAATTCACCCTTTAAGTGTCATCCGACGATATACTTCTGTCACTTCTTTTAAAGACAACCGTAAACAGTTTCAATGCAAGTATAAAATACTTCGTAACAAATACATATTTTTTATCCATTGTTGTGAAGAAGTCTTTTTTCCTTCTCAAAATACGTGAAAGTGCACCCTTTGATCGAAGTACTTACCATAAGGACAAGACCCCCCTGTAAAAGAGAAGTCATCAATTGCTATGTCACCAGCGATACTGCTTCCTACTACGCCTTCAAATGTTACCTGTTCAAAAACATGGTATTACAGTGTAATCAGTCTGGAAGGGTCGCTTTAATGATGGACTTTAAAGACAAATTAATATTGCAGAAATGAAAAGTTAACTGGAATGTTTAAAGAACTAAATAATTGAAACAAACAGCAAGCACATCCTCTTTGAAACGCTAAGTGATATTTTTCTTTGCCTTTACGAACTTTAGAGTGACATATAACTTACCTTTTGTATGTGTTTAATTTATAGTTAATGATAAGATGAAATATTATAGTTTTACTTGATTTGCTGATAAATACAGAAAGTCCGTCTAAAGTAAGATTTGTGGAATTTAGACTCTCGAAAATTCTCAAAAGGTTGTCAAAGATTCCTGCCTTATGCCTCTTAAAATCATTTTTTCCTACTGCGTTTAGAGAAAACTGTTTTCAGACGGTTTTGATACCGATCGATGTGGTCTCATTAATGCTTACCCAATGCAATCCCACAACAGATGATATATTTATACTAGCTCTTTGCCACATGCGTTCGTTATCACCACTCGCAGAGAACACTTCTGTTTTATTTATGGTGACGTTCAGGCTTCCGTTAACTGCACCATACATATAGTAATAGAATTCAAGGCACATAATCCCAAAGAACTTCAGTGGAGGACTGTACAATTTGGCACCATCACCTGGTTGATGTGGACTGGATGCTTCTATGTACATGTAATAACCTTTAAAGAGATAAAGATGGATAGAGGGTAGCAACTTATAACTAACCAGTAGTTTTTAGGTTGAGGACCGACTGTCCAATTTTGTAAGTTCTTGTTGACTAGATAACTGTAAAAAATGAATGTGTAACAACTTACAAAGAGATAAGGATACAGGAAACTCAACCAGACCCTAAGAATAAGGGCAGCCGGTCTCGAGGATAATTTTCCTTGGCCCTACGGGCCTCAGTCGCGCTTAAAGAATAAGGAGGGGGCCCTGGCCTCTCCCGAGCCCCTCTCTGGCCCTAGATCCGCCAATGCTATAAAGCCTTTGACATGACGTCACAACGGCTATGTTGGTGTAAACGCTTTCTTTTTTCGGAATAAATTTGAATAGCTATCGACCACGTGAGTGAAGACGCTCCATATGGAGATAAGGTATGAAAAGAGAATAAACAAAATCCCTAATATAATTTAAAAGGCACGCAGGTGTAGTAATTCATTTTTCAGAGTCAGTTTAATAATAAGTGCTCGGTTGATTGATTGATTGACTTTATTGTTCTAACTGTTATTATCGTTTTGCACTGTGGTGACTCAAGAAACAATAATGTTGCATTATTCTCTCTTGGGTTACTCAAATATAGACGGAAGTTTCTATTTTGGGGGGGCGGGACTGGGGGTTAAAATATTAATGTTGCTTTCAGAATAAGAAAGGAAAGTGGATATTCTTGCCTATATTCAATACACTCGGGCTGGACTGCTCAAAGCTGGGTGAAGATAACCCAGGATAGTGAAAATTCGGATTTAGATATGAAGGCTTAAAAAAGACCAATTTTAGTTTAATTCTTTTAGTCTAACAATTTGATGACTGGACGCTCTAAATAACCGAAATGTCTCTGCTAATAGTTAAAGTCTGGCAAGCTGCAATTAGTTAAGAGTTCACCTGTTGTGGTTCCAGTGGTGTGATCAGAGGGAGGTCCTTTACCGGAAGAACTTGTGTGTCGAGTCCACCTTAGCTTGTCATCTTTGCCTTGCTCGAAACCGCACTCTGATGCATCAAAGTTGCATGTTATTTCTAAGTTGAGAAGACGAAATGAATCTTAATGTTATATTGGCCGTTTTCTGCCTATTCCATTCAACGTACTCCTTACGATCCTAAGGCCCTGTTTATTCGGAAAAAACACTTGTCTTCGGTAGAAGGGTCACTCGCCTACCCGAGCTACCCTCGGCGAGCCAACATTTCCTACATCTCCTTAAAAAACTTGGCAAACCGTTAACTTGACAAACAAAAGTTGGCTTGGCTATAGCTATAAGGGTCTTGCTGTTTTGGACAAAAAGAGCGTGAGCGCGAGCATTGGTTGGTGAAAAGGGGTCAATTTTTTTTCTTATGTAAAGGCTCGCAAAGTTGACTCGGTTGGGAGGGTGACCCACTTTTCCGGGACAACTTTTCTCCTTAAAAGCGGAAACTAACATTGAAATACAATTTTCAATACCAGGTACCGCGCAGCAGGGTTTAGACAGGGGATGGTTGAGTCGAGACACAAACATGCAAATTGGAATTTACGGTTCTTCCGCTAACTAGCTAGAAATGCATCAAAAATTGGCTCATCCTCGTTGTCAGAACCTGTAATAAAACGAGCGATGTAAAAGGAAGGTAACATCGGATTCAACACAAAATAGTTAAAAATAATAATAATGATAACTCAAAGCACAGATATACTATACCGTTCCTACATCGAGGAGAAAATCTAAGACTATTATCTTCTTACCATACATTCAAGTTTCATTCATTATTTCGACAAGCGATTGTGAAAATCTTAAGTTAAAGTTGATCTTCCTTGACCGAATCGTAGGGAAGCTTTTCCCAGTTCGAAAATCTTTCATGCAGTTCGGAAATTCGCGCCAATGTACTAATTCCCTTTGAAACATTTACGACTGATGATTATAACGTTTTTTCCCTTCTGCACCAGGACATATTCGGTTGGCCCCTAATTTAACTGCATTGTCTAAGAAGGAACTTATTCCTCTTGCTCCTTCGTAAGCTATAATTTAAACTTCTCAATTTTAGCTTTTTTTTGCCCTTAAGTCGATATAAGCAAAAATATTAAAGATAACCAAATGTTAAAAATGAGCTCTTTGAAAGAGGCAATTCACTAAGGCAGTTCCCTTTGTATGGGAACTGCCTTGAACCTCCTCCAACACTTGTTTTAATTACTTTTAGCGATTTCTCCAATTTTTTGCAATTTTTGGAGAAATCGTAGAAATTGCAGAAATGGCAGTTTTTGCTGGGCACCCTTCTACCTCCTTTACCACTTGAATTTCGTAATTTTAGCAAAAACTGTGATTTCTCCAATTTTTCGCAATTTTTGCTATATACTGCGTGCAAACTTGAACATATCTCAATGCACGAGGCGCTTAAGGAACGGCCTGTCAAAGGAACAACAGCGGCTGTAGCCATTTTGGATGAGTCATCCAAAATTCTTGAGGTTCAGAAGATAAAACAACTTAGTGAGTTGCACAACTTTAGATACGAAGAGAGTGGGATAAGAGTGTGGAAAGCTTACGCTGTTGGGGTCGGAAGGCTTATCCCTTGGCAATCTTTGCACATACGGAAACCAGGGCTGCACACATATATCATTAATGGAGGGAAAAGGATTCTTCACCAACACAGAAATAAGAGACCTTCATCGCCCAAGAAAGTGTCAAGCAACTAAAGACGACTTTGAAATTAATGATCAGCCATCGATGTTTGTGTGCCCTGAATAAGGCTGTAATTGCACTTTTGACTCTTTCTCCAAACTTGAGTTGCATACAGACGTAGGAATACTTGATACTAGGAAGTCGGGAATTTGTTTATGATAAAGTACGGAAAAACCGAGCTGAAAAATTTTCTTCTATTGAGAACCAGAAGTTAACAAATCCTCCACTGGTCTGACTGTTAACAGCACAAATTCTCGTCAAAGTATTGGATGGGCTCTTAACAAAGGTAGAACTGGCGCGGAGTTCGTTTTTCTGAGAGCGTGAGACGGTACCTTACAACAAGGTTTGAAATGGGAGAAAGAGCGGGCAAAAAAGCCAATCCAGAAGAGATCGAACGTCAAATGCGCAATGCCAGAAATAAACGGAATGAAAGATTGTTTCAAAGAGAGGAGTGGCTCACCAAGACCCAAATAATGTTTTTTCGCCTCGCTTCACGGCAGAGAACTCGCAGTCAGGATGCTATATCAAAGTAACAGACATTTGATATTACAGCAGATCAGAATGACGACATCGACGCCCTCATTGGATACTCTGATCGCAACAATTTGCTTGACGATATTCAAAGCAGAATTGGACTAGAGCATCCGATAGTATATGACACATATGATCTTCGCGCCTATCACAAGGAAGGAAAGCTACAGGCCCTCAATGTTGCAATGCTCAAGACTATTCTTCGGCACTTTGAAGTACCTTTCGGAGCAAAAGATAGAAAGACAGGCCTTATTTATTAGGTTGTTAACGGAGGTTAGTAGTCATAAGGGCTACACCAGGGAGTAACCAATCAGAGCGCAGCAAAAATTTTCTCGACCAATCAGAATCGAGCATTTAGGTCAGGTGACCAAATTGACGTCACAATGCTCATATATGGTCATGGTTGTTCACGTGACCCCATGAGATAAAGAACACACGCACACAAGAGTTGAATCCACATTCTTCACATAGTTTTAATGACCGCGTAGAGCCTGGTTACAAGAGGGACGTATGTGACGCCCTAGTGACGTCACGCCCATTTTTTACAAATCTAATAGCAGGTCGAGTTCGTCCCCAATCCTCTCGTAGCCATAGGGATAACTGGATCGGGTGGCTACATTGATGACGCGCTTGTCAAACACCAACCCATACTGCTTTACGCGCGGAACCACTTGAATTTGTTTTTTCTCTAAATCCCGTTTGAAATAATAGGGGGTGGTAATGTTCAAATTTCGGCGAGAGTCCTGGGGCGAATCTAATTCTGAAAGAATGTTCTCTTTCATGGTGTGAAAATTGAGAATGGCCGACCCGCGGACGTTTAGGGTGAAACCACGTACCTTGCACACCACTTTGCCACCACGGGTCTGGTACCCATAATTCTTGGCGCCCCCCGAAACAAACTCGGTGATGACGTCTCCGTCCAATTCATCGGTCATGTCCCCCAAAAAATCCCCAGTGGTGATGGAGGGTTGACCGGGACTCCACTTGTACACCACACTATCTGTATCATAATAGAGGACTTGCTGTTGAAGGGTGTCTAGGGATTCGTAGAGCTTCAATCGAGCATGACAGGTGGTGAAAGCCGCCACAAAGATATTGGTCTTGGTGCCTTTGACGGCATTGTCTTGGACGCTAGTGTAGACAGCTTCCAGGATATCGTCGGTGCAAAGACGGAGCGTACTGAGATCGAGGGCAGCATCGGAGATGAGGCTGAACAAATGGGCGGGGTCTTTGACAGTCACGGTGGTGGGTTTGTTGATCCGCTCCCCGAATTTCCCCCAGAAACTGTTCAGCATGAGCTTGGCCGTGGCCTTGCGACCGGGATTTTTGGCAATGCTGGCAATGTCCAGTCGGATCCCTTCCCGTTCCTGGTAACGAAGAATGTACTCTCGTTTCTGCTCGAGGGTCTGACACCAACCGGGCCACCCCGCGGATTCTTGTTTGATCTTGAGCCACGTGTTGACGTAATTGGCGAAAAGACCCGTTTGGCGTTGCTCCGGGGGAAAATGCCAGGCTTCATGGATCTTGATCAGCGTGTACCCCTTTTCGATGGCTTTGACTAACTCGGGCGTGCACCAGGTTCCACGTGGCGTGCGTTCCGTGTCAGAATGAGGGCAATAGCGGGTTCGGGTCAACATGGGTTGGGCCTGCTCTGTCTGGACACAGGCACGGCAGAGAGGAAAGGTGAGCTTCTTGCCGCTACGCACAGGCAAGACGGGGTGGAGCAGACCAGCGGGGGGAAGAATGTCGACGGTGGCTACACCAAAATAGGACTCCAGGGACTGGTCGGAGGGCTGAGTGATGATTTTCGGATGCCCAATGGGGTAAGGGCAGTTTTTGTTGACCCATGGGTACAAGGAGGTCACATCCACATAGCGTATTTCCTCACCCTCCCCAGCCACAGCATGCAGAGCCACTGCACCAGTTCGACCCCCAAAGAAGGCTTCACGGGGTTCCAGGGGTGCGACCAAATCAAATGAATTCAGGAAACGTTGGACTGCTTCATCCGTGTCCACCAATTTGTCCCATTCACATTCCCACATTTCGATTACCGTGTAGCCTGCTCGGAGCAGTGCCATGCGTTTGGAGAGCGTGGCTTGATACAGTTCCTCGACGCTTCTGTCCGGCACGGCATAATGTTTGACGTTTCTCATGGGATAACAACGGGGACAGCCGTGGTAGAGACATCCATGAAACTCGTAGACGGTGCGAGTCAGGGGATTGTAGCCATCGACGAAATAACTGTGGGCGCTGGTTCGGATAGACTGTTCGCCCCCATTACGAACGTGACGAATACGGTCAGCACTAGCCCCCTCCTTGGGAATGAGGTGTTCTTGGTAATAGAGCCATTGCGGGGCTTTGAGGGATTGATTGACTTGAGCCCCTCGCCAACCCGCCAGAGGTTCCACAGCAATGGTGTCTGGGGTCAAATGATGCTTGCGCCAATACAGATTGCAAGCACTGGCAATGGTGATGCACTTGGCCATGGGATTGAAGCCAGCTTGCCGTTCAAATTCTTGCTGAAAGGCTTCACACCCTGCTTTTAACAGGGCGACATCTGATTTGCAATAGTCAATCATTTCTTGTTTGAAATGGAAGGGCATGTTGCGACGGACTTGATCTGCATGCCAACGGGTCAGTTCCTCTTTCTTTTTGGCCATCATGCCATCGGGATCATAAAACTCCAAATCAGGGATTCGGCCCACATACTGTTGGTGGTCGGGGGTATTGAACAAGTGAGGAAAGAAGCCCTTCTTTAATTCGGTCAAATTGAAGGTGCTGGGAAAGGAGGCCAGCGGCATGGGCAAGAAACACAGCGAGTCAATGAATTTGATGGGTCCACTCCTGAAAGACAGGACGTTGGCCCCCACCGTCAGTTGATCCACCACCTCGCGTTGCTGTTGGTAGAGTTCATGGAGAATAAACATGCCGTCAAACCCTTTCAAATTGTGAAACACCACGAGAATCTCCCGCTCGCCCTCACTGTCTGGAACGTCCGTGAGATCATCCAAATCGCGCAAAAATTGTAGGGCACAGTCCTCCCCGTCCAACACGTGAATGGTCGTTTCTGCACTCGACGAATAACACAACAAATTAGCCACAAACACGCCTTCCTCATTTTGCATGGCTTCAAAATCCGTGTAAACAAACAGGGGAGGGGGTGGCGCCACCATGCTACCTCCCCCCTCCTCCTCTGTTGGTTCAGTCTCCTCGTGTTCCACCACGGGCTGAATGTAACACTTGTGGTCCTGGATGGGCACCCATTCCTGACACGCGGGGCATTTGGCGTACCCGCACTGGTGACGTCGGTTGCGGACGACCGTGTATTGGGCTTGACACTTGAGACAAGTTTTGATGGATTGACATTGTGCACTGACTTCATGATAACGTTTGCATTGACTGCCGTAAAACTTGCGGTGACACAGACTGCAATACTCGGTGGGGCGAGTGCCACGCACATAATCCGGACAATCAAAGCGCCCACACGCGGAGCAACGTCTCCCTTGACAAGAGTGATTGGTTCGGTCGTTGGTGTTGAACCCTCGTTCACAGTCCACACAATAATAGGAGCGGTTGACAAACGCAGGAAAGGACGTGCAGCCATCAAAATGATCATTGGATTTCAGTAAACGAATCTGATGAGGGGCAGTGGGGCCTTTGAAGATCAAAAAGAACGGTTTCATCCGGGGGACGGTGAGGAGGGCACACGGGGACGTCGTCGCGGTTGTTTGGCAGCGATGGTGGGGCGTCCAGTGGGGGTCGTCACCGTCGAGGTGGTGGTCCGGGTCCCTGCTCCAGCGCTGCGGCGAGCGGTGGAGGGGCGCGAGGGAGCGGTGGTGGTCGTGGCGGTGGTGGCGGGGCGTGTTCGGGTGGAGGTGACGGGTCGTGGTCGGCTGGTGGTGGGGCGTGTTCGGGTAGACGTGGTGATGGCGGGTGGTGGCGGTGCTGTGGTGGTGATGGAGGGTGGTGCTGTGCCTGTGCCTGCCACGGGGGGTAACGTGAACGCATTCAAGGCATCGTCCACATTGACTGGATAAGTCAAATTGAAATCGTCAATGTCTTGATCCAATTGGGCTCGATCCACCGGTCGAGACAATTCGGTCACCATGTCCGTCATGCTGCTGAGATCTTGGAGGACCGAAGGTGATGACGGGGAGCCCACCCCCGCGGGCGAGAGGGTCGATGCGTCCATGCGAACTGCTAACTCAGTATGTTGTCCGCCTTCTCTTTGTCGACGGACCCTGGCGAGTTCTCGTTGCAGTTCGTTTTCGAACGGCAGGGACATCCAGGGGCAGGGTGCGGACTTGCGCCTTGCCTTCTCGAGGCGTTAAATGACTCCACAGGCGGTAGCGATCATCCGACGCAGGATGCACATCCAACATCAAATAGCCAAAGGGGCGGGACGTGATGCGTTTAAATAGGCGCAAGACTTGACGCCACCGATCCGGAAAGGCTTGCAATAAAATGGTCCGTATCCCTGTTT